GTGGCAGGTAACAGTGGTGTTAAAATCAAGTTCTGTGCCTGGATGTCTGGACTAAACCCACAGTTCATACGTCGGACAAGAAAGCGTTTCATTCAGTTACGGTAATCCGAGTTGGCCTTTGGATAAACTGAACTGTGGCAACCTTGAGGCACATCTATCAAATTGGCTTCAGAACCGCCCGAAACTGACTGTAGTTTCCAACACTTGTAGGCGGAGCGTAGACATACATGCTTGTTCACACGTCGTTAACCGCTCGATCGATGTACCGCACGTCCATTGAGCCGAATGCCCTGAGCCCGCATTGCGGGCCTACTCTCGAGCAGGGCAAGTGATCGCGGACACACAGGTCCGGCAAATCATAGGACAGCAGGTGGCTAGGTCAACCATAGAAATACCCGGGAGACAGACTCGAGTTTACCCCAGTGAACTGTGCGTGTCTTGTTGCATGTTAAGGAAATGCCACGACGGGACTTGACGTCAGCTGAGAAGATTCGTTTCTTAGATCAGATCAAGGAACAGGGACCAACCACTAGTCAGCGTCGATTGGCGGAAATTACCTGCTTGGCAAAATCTACAATATCGCGCCTGATAAAACAAGAGAAAGATCTGCGAGAAGAATGGGCACAATGTGAAGGACGACGAGGTACTTCCCAAAAACGGAAGCGTGAAGGCAAGGATCCAGACGTCGCTGAGATCCTTAATGATTGGTTTGCCTTTGTTACTGGACGAGCCGTGCGAGTAAGTGGCCCAATGTCAAGGTACAAAGCAGAAGAACTCGCTAAAATGCTGGGCCAGGAAGATTTTATAGCTACGAACGGCTGGTTGTCTCGATGCAAATCTAGGCATGATGTAAAATTTAAGAAAGCGCATGGTGAGAAAGTGCCAATAGCGCTCGAGCTGAAGAATGGAAATCAACAAAACTACCAGAGCTTCTTGAAAAATTTCCAGCAGATGACATCTATAATGCTGATGAAATCGGGTTGTACTATAGGGCTACACCGGACGGCTCCTTAAGTTACAGACATGTTACTCACTCTGGCTGCAAGAAAGCAATGGATCGCGTAACTGTCTTGTGCTGCTCAAACCTGTCCGGAGCAGACAAGAGGAAGTTGCTGGTTATAGGAAAATGTGCCAAGCCTCGCTGCTTTAAGGGACTCAGAATGGACAGTTTACCAGTTGTGTATCGTGCGAACAGAAATGCATGGATGAACTCTACGCTTTTTAAAGAATGGGTGAAGGATTGGGACACAGAGCTACAACGCCAGTCGAGAAAAGTGTTATTACTTCTCGACAATTGTGCAGCACATTCAAATTTGGATTTCTTGAGGAATATGCAGATGGAATTTCTGCCTCCCAAGACCACATCTTTGATACAGGCAATGGACATGGGCATCATAAAAAATTTGAAGACCTTTTATCGTTCAAGGTTGGTGAATTACATCCTTGAATCAATTGAGGAAGGCTTGCTGACCTCATCCTCGACGGCCGGAGAAATCAGTGCAAAGGTCAACATTTTGCAAGCCGTTACATTCGTGGCCGAAAGTTGGCGAAAAACGAGCAGTGCGACAATTCGGAACTGTTTTTCTCACTGTGGCTTTAAGCATATTGTCTCGGAGATGGATGTGGATATGGTGATTGTAAATGAAAATGACGGCGAGAATGTGGAGCTGAAACAAGTTGAAAATTACGAAGAATTTTTGTCAATCGACAACGAACTATAACTCTATGGTGGAATTGAAGAATGCGATGCTGCCATTGTTGCTCGAATGGCAGCGAAACACACGACAGCAACAGTAGACCATGGAAGTGATGAAGAGAACCCTAAGGTGTTGATGCCAGTCACAAAACAGGATGCAAGGAAATGCATTGAAACATTGCACCGCTATTTCATGCAGGAAGGAAATGAAGGTAGTCCTATTACTGCGTTATATATATATATATATATATATATATATATATATATATATACATATATATATGATTTGGCGGCGTCCGTATCCGGATTTGCCTGTCACTGTGACGTCCATGGGGACAGTCACAGGACGCCTGCGGCTACAAAGTGTACCATGGGTGGCTTGCGCTGCACTAGCCATAGTTCCACCCACACACCCCATATATCCGGTGTGAACCGAAAGGAATAAGACCGGGAGGCATGTGAATGGGAGCCACGTTCCATCAACGGAGCAGGCTCACACTCCTTCAACAAGCAGAACAGAAGCATTCCGGTCTAATCGGGAAATCATGCACACCAGACGTACACATGGCGGTGGCTGGACCGTGACCCGTTCCACACAGGATGGAACCACTTTTTCAGCCTAGCAGCATCACGAGGACGGTGCACTCCGTCCCCTCCAGAAACGACCAACTGTCTCCTGGAGCTAGTATGGACTAGGTAGTGGGTAATAGACAGGTAGGCACCTTGTCAACGTTCACATCAAGCGCATCCACACCGGGGAGCTCAAATAACGTTTACTTCTGAAACGCAACATTACTCATCACGCAGGCAAACGTACCACATACGCCGCCTGATTGGTCTGGATTAGTAAATCGAATGGGAGCGTATGCATCATGCTTCTATTCCGCGTGCAATAGTACCTTCTCCTGCACCTGAGCAACCGCCGTCATGATCAGTCCACGGAGTTCGCATCGATCAAATTTTCCTTGAATTCGCAACACCTGAAATCAACATGAGTTTGTCATTAACTCACCTTCTTCATGTTCTGGTAATGTTATTTCCGGTTTGCTCGAGTTCCGTTTCCCTGCACTAAGTTAGCCGTACAAAAGCGGTATGAGTACCCTCTTCAAATTCATTCGGTATACAGATATACATAGCTTGGCGCCATTTGTGTCCAATGGCAGTTCGATTACAACATATGGCCATGCGTTTATCCAAACAGAAGTGTGAGCTATAACAAACTTTATAGAGACACATTAGACCTCATGACCAATGGTACAACAAACGTGTATGGGTTTCGTTTGAAGGTCAGGCTAACAACCACTTTCGCAGGCATGACAATAAGTACCCAATACGAACTGTTGATGTTTTCTTCTACATTTAAATGTGACAGCCTTAAATCGTGCACATCCATATTTTAAGGAACCCGATATAGCAATAGTGAAGCAACTGCTAGGTAGAAGGATAACTAAACTAGTGGTACAATGAAATAGTGTGCACTTAGGTGTTGCCGTCTACATCTACAGTCTGTTTTGCGTAGCTCATGCGAATGTCATGAAGTGTCCACTTCTGGCTCTCCGTGTCGCCCATCGGTTCGGTCATCTGCTACCCGAGGAACGTGCACATACTCAAAGAACGATTGATGCGCAACCTTTGGTATTGACAGGTGACATCAACTAAGTCCCGCTGCCCACTGTCAATCATGCGACTTTCCAAACAGTGTTTGCATTTATTGTGCAAATGTCCAAGTACTCAACCGTTTGTACCTACCGACCTGTACTCTACTGTGGCCATAAGCTATGTGCTAACGGTCTAAATCGTACGTTTCGGGTGCAGCCATTCGGTGCTCATAAAACCATTGTCGCTATGCCGATTCATTTCCGATGTTATATAATAACACACTGACGTACCATTCCCGTTAGGTTCAACCTTTTACTTAATCCATCCAAAAGATTGGCCATATGCAATGCAACTTCTGGTAGGCGTCTCTGCTTGTCTGCCTTCCATCCGGTTAGTACGTGTGTTTTCATAAGCCCCGGTACATTCAGTATGGCCGAGGAACAACTGGAACTATATCTATGCTCACTCTCATCACTAGCCTGCGGAGTGGAACATGAAATGGCGACATCGTGATAATCGCTAGTCGGTTAATTGTCGGGATTGTTCACTTGACACAGAATTTCCATGGAAATTTCTCTTCGAATTCATAATCCATTGTGGTCACACGAGGGACAATCGTTGAGCATTGTGTCCCAAATGTCAAACTTGACAATTTATTCGTATCGTAAGCGGCCAAGAGATGATAACCTTTTGATTCAAATCTATCCATCGAACTGGAAACATACACAATAACTTGCCACCCTAGCATTGATTCGTAGCAAGCACACAAATCACTCGGAAACACCGCGCGCACGTCAATCACGAATGAGCTCATGGATAGACTGAACTATTATTCTGAGATGCACCGGCTCCCTAAGCGTCATGCAAGTTAGCATTGAGCAGCTGGTCAAGCTACGGTTATGGTGAGTAATACCATGGAGCTTACATAGTGATGTGAATCGCGGCCGAATAATAATACGAAGAGGAAGATGCCATAGCTCACTCTCGGTATGTAACCATACTAGACTCCGCTTGAAAAGGTAGCAAGAATAGCATAGCATAGCTCATGATGAGTACAATATCGTAATGAGCAACATGTGAAGTCATCGCGAAATACCACCGAGTTAAATAAGCGTAATAAAGTTAGGTTACCTGTGGCTCATCCGTTCTAGGCATGCTCAATATGGATACCACATTGCACCAAGTCAGTAGTTAATCATTATGTGGGATATATATATATATATATATATTTATTGAAAAGTTTGACTAAACGTGCAAGCTGTGTTGTTGATGAACAGAACAGTAAAATATCATCCACATAGCGTTTGTAGTAGAAAATGAGGAAAACATTTTTAACATTTTTTTCTCCACTATGCACATAAATACATCCGCTGTTACTGAACACTGTCTCTATCTCATTCGGTCGCGCCCTAGCCGTAGTCATATATATTTTCCAGTCATAAATTTGGCACTGCCAAGACAACATGAAGTGTTAATATCTACCAACTTTCCTCTCTTCACTGCGTCATTTAAAATGTGGTGTTCTGTCTTTTTGGTGTTCAGGTAGCTTTGTACATCAAGAAAGCTTCCAATGTCGTTGTTTACCTGGGGCAATTTGGTTACCTCAGTCTAAAGTATGCTCCTTCCCGTATGAACCTAAATCTCTGGATTGTGACCCCTTGGGTACCAGTCATATCGGACCCTTGGAAGTGAATGCAGACATGGATGCTGTCGCATCGGCTTTAGGGGCTAGTCATCAGGTGTTCCGCTGCATATGCAAGCCGCAGTATTATGGATCGCGATGTGACAAGGTGAGTTCAGTTACGCCTGTTACCTACGTGAGAAGTTTATCATCACAGGATGCGAAGTTGTGATATTTGTATTCTAGATTTCCACACTAGCTGTCAAAAATTACTTGTTTGTTCCAGTGAATGATTCCATTTGTAGATCATTGCTTTATAATCCTCTCAAATCGGTGCTCTATGACCGATCTAGAAGACGTTGTTAAAATTGAAAGTGCAGCGTACTGGTTGATTAATCAAGTCTACACAAGACTTGGAGTATGAAAACCTACGGCGGTTGGCAAAAGAATCTTTGGTGTTAAACCTTGGTTCTCCGGGCATATCTACAAACAGCTGCATGCATTAAACGCACTAATAGTTGAACCGACTCGCTGGCTCAGGCGGCACGATGTACGAAACTCTAGTAAGTCATGTTGACTAACAACAAGATTAATACATAGAAGTGGGAGCATTTCTGTCAATAAGAATAAAGCAGTAAATTAGATATGCTGTTGTTTAATTCGTGAATTATCATTAACTATAAGGAAAAATGAAACAACAAAATGATATGGACATAAAAGTTTCACAGTTTATCGTTTTATTCATTCATCGTCCGTTGCTTGATGAAAGGGTGGACAGAGGCAGAACAAGTGTGATGCTACAGACCATGAAATTATAAATCGCTCCGAACAACAAATGAGTACCGAAAAATTTACCGTTTTACACGCAAGTTAGCGCATTGCAACAAACTTTTCGCGTGCCACATGTTCGAAATCGCGTGCAGTGTTTTCAAGTTATCGAGGATAAGAACGCTGTTTTGGCGTCGTTGACACGCTCGTTGGTCATGGTACGTTAGCCAATGGGACACCGGTTGGAAGCTCCCAGCATAAGCGACAGACAGTCCAATGAAAGTAGTCGAGCACCACCTTCCGTTCTATTTTGATGCCTATCTGAAGGAAATCTCGACACCATAGAAGTGTGCTGGTACACCGATTGCGATCAACAGATAGGCGACCTAGAAACAGAGCCTATTGTACAGCGAATTTGCAAGCCTACTACCAGCCTGCAGGTAGTTTTAAATAAAACAGTCGTTCCAAAATATGCTCTTGTTTAAAAGCACCAGCACATTCTGTGCCGCACCAATGCGCACCTGAAGGAATGCCGAGGTGTTCTCTCTGAAGTCGGACCGTCCAATCGACATGACCGAAAGCGTCCATACGATTGCACGCGAGCACAGCGTCACACTTATTAGTCTTCCCTTTGGTGTGGCCGCAGACTCGACACCAAAATGCATCGCGTGATACGCAGCGGACCAATGTGGTCCAGAGCACATGCGAAGTTTACTCGGCTACGAGTGCGAACGAACGAGAAAACTACCAACAGAAGCGAGCGATAGTACTGGTTAACCAGCGGTTTCGTTACCGTGTCCAGGGTAATCAGCCAATCGGGGAACTAATACGTGATTGGTCATGCTGCCAATCTGGCGTAAGGAGGTTTCACTACCACCCGAGCGAGATGACATCTAAGTGAGTGGTAATAAGAAGCGGATTGGTAGTTTTTGTTGAGGCTGCAACCCTTGCACGCTGTCGGAAGAGAAGCTTTGAAGGCTTACAGGTTGACTGCACGGTTGCCTTCCTTGCTCGCTTGCCTATCTGGCCACACTTGATATGGTATGCATAGTGTAATCGTGCCACAGCGAGCAATTTGGAGAATCGATCGGTATGCTATTTCGTTGATGAAATGTTTGTGATTGTTAAGGCAGTGTGAGGTAATCAGAAACCATACAGTACTTCTTACAAAGGAGGTAAAGCTAGGACTTGTTCGCAAATAGAAATTTTAAAGCCTTTACGGCTACAAGGTTCCTATGCTTTTGTTTCAGTCGGCCTTACACTCATGTGAATAGCGCAGCTACGTACTGCTGATGTAGTCGGCGCATTGTATACTAAGGTCAAGTTCGCTGTGTAGGTAAGACCATCAGTCGATCTGTAGTCATTGTTCCAAGGAGCAGAGTCCCTAGTGTGGCGGCGACAAGACATTAGTGAGTGTTCGTTCGTCACACCTGTGGGCCACTTCGGTAATCAGTTATCGCTTCAAGACCCATGGACCTGCCGTTATGTTGCGTTTCAACATGATATTTACACTTCACTTCCAAGTGACTGATAAGCTTGGAATACCAAGTAACCCTACGGCCCTGATATGAGCTGACAACGAGCATTGCATACGCATAGTAAGCATAGAGTTTGGAGCAAGTTTTCCCCTTCAACAGTTCCTCCGGAATTACCTACTTTCCAATGACAAAATGTCTCCCAGTAGTTGCCGAGTCGATAACAACCTGTGTCACGGCGTGCACACATGACTGCTTCTAAGACTAGCTGAAACAGTGGTCCATAGCAGGATTAGTGGGCGCGGTTGCCTTTGTAAATGATTGCAAACACATTGTAGGAACACCCGTGGGTGAGACAACAGTGTTTGTCTGTTCCAAGTACCCACCTGAATTACCAGAGTAAAGTGCGTGCGTCGCCACTAATTATCAGCCTTGCGTTTTTTTCTAGCAGGACGATGTGGCATGTATAAATACCGTAGTCATTGTAGCCCCTTTAGGTATTTCTTTGTTGAGTAAAGCCGATTTCGTGAGGATAGCATTCCATGGACGTAATAGGGAGGTTCCATCTACATTGACTGTACTTCTAATGGTGCCATTCGGAGAGCCATTTGTCAAAGCGTCTCAACACGTATGGGCGACAATATGGAAGTGAAGCCTAATTATCCTATGAATACATAGGTTCCTATGACCTTTACATAACGCCATACATTGAGACAACGAAGCGATAACTGGTTAAAAAAGTCACCCATGGGTGTGAAGATAAACGAACACTCAATAACCTCGTGTCAACGCCACACTTGGAATCCTCTTAGTTTGTGTTTAGTCATCAACTGTGACAGAAGTAAGCAAACATGGAACTTTCGTTGTCCAGTTTCAGGTTGGTCTACCAACTTCAATGGGAACAATGTCCCCCATGATCGTCGTAATAACGATCGCACTAAATTGTCTAACCGCCTAACAGCCCTTGCTGAACTGCGGAATACCAGTTAGACGATTGACTGTCTATGCCACCATGGGTAGGCCGCTGAATAATCCACCACCAGGTAGGCGATAGCGATCACTAATTATAGACCGCTTCATGTGCTGGTTTGTATGTCTGTCCGCACTGGTTACGTCTTAAGCTTCGGATCATGTGGTATCTAGGATCTCCTCCTTAGACGGGCATCACAAGTTGCCCATTAGACTGTTTCAGTTTGGAGACTTGTCATCGAAGTTTCCTTCAGATAGGCATCAAAATAGAACGGAAGGTAGTGCTCGACCACTTTCATTGGACTGTCTGTCGCTTATGCTGGGGGCTTCCAACCGGTGACCCATTGGCTAACGTACCATGACCAACGAGAGTATCAACGACGCCATAACAGCGTTCTTATCCTCGCTAACTTGAAAACACTGCACGCGATTTCGAAAATGTGCGACGCTAAAAGCTTGGTACCTTGCGCTAACATGCGTGTAAAATGGTATGAATGGAAGCGGCAAAATGAGGTTCACATGTGCAGCTGCGTCTAACATTCCTCAGGCACAATGACCAATTTGCATGAGAGATTCCCCCATATTTTGTTTCTGAAAAATATTGTTCAGAAATCTTTTGAATTCGAACCCCAACTTCTCCTTTGTCAGGAACAAATTATGTTGACGTAAAATTGGCGGTTTTATGTCATTTTTATATCAACCAGAGCAAGAATAGAGACATAAAACTCATGACGCAGTAGATGATCGCTAGTATCTTACAAACGATCCAGCAATAATCAAGTGCTTATTCAATGCTGCTTGGACTGCTATGATACCATTGTGACGCACTAGGGCTACAACAGTGAAGGCCACAGGTAAGAATCACATGCTGTCTTTAACCTGCCATCATTTCGAAATCCTGATTGTCGATAACTTCGTGAAATGTTCTCAGCTTCTGTTCGGTCCAATCTAGAATATTTCATCTAGGCTTGGCCGTTTTACATTATATCGGACAACTCAGAGCTAAAGGGGTTTCTGCGAGGGGTAGTTAAGGTGCTTGCGAGTTTAGGGGAACTGACATGTCTCTAGTGCTTAACTAGTTTAGTGATGCATTCAGTGTCCAACCGGGAGATCGGGGAGCATCTGATCCCCACATTTCGAAGTTTAACTGGGTAGGCTAATTCGGACTCGCCCTGCATAACCGGGTCAATTTGATCATACTATGAGATTACACCAGCCGCGCTCTGATCGTATTACGGCATAATCTGGGTTATTTAATCGGATGATCAAACACTTGATCGACAGTTAGATGAGCTTAAGTGGAAACACGAAATCTCTCCTTCTCTTGACGAACTCCCATCTGCATACTTTGATTTATATGTACTTTGCTTCAGATGCTCTTCTTATTCCATGCTTTCAAGCTGCATTCTTCTCGATTACTTGCCTCATGTAACTTGAACTACAGGAACTGCCATTTCATGGTACGTGAGCAGCTATTGTTTGGCCAGCTTGTGATTTGAGTGTATCGTATATTCATGTACACTTGATTTATTCCCTGTTAATCCGTCGTAGCTTACCGCACACTGTTGGATCTATACTTGTTCATCTTGATTTGGCAAGCTTCACCTCTTGATAACATTCTCTCGAGAACACTACCACTGATCCTACATATATCCAGAATTGTAAACTTCGATCTGTGTTTCACCTATACCTAGGCGCAAAAAGTCGCACAGCTTTATGCGTCAAACCACTTGATAAAGCATTTCAACAGCTCCCGAACTAGCTCTTACCCGTCTCAGTTCAACTGTATGTGAAGCATCTACATAGTAATCTAAGTTTCCCCAGTAAGTATTACTCAAAATCTAGGTAAGTTCATTTTGCAACCACACAATTTGATCGTGGACGATCAATAGATCAAGTCACCGAGACTTGTCCACCGCACCAGGGCGGGAAGTCAGCTAGCGTGAACGACTTAGCCGACCTTGAAACCACAGCCAATTCAGCGCGTGGGGAACAGACAGAGTTGGCATGTTCAGCCATTGACTAGAAAGGCATAGATCGACGAGACACGGCAGTTGTAATGAGCAGTCTAAAGATGCTACAAAGATACCAGTGGTATGTCGCAATTCTGCACGCCAGTAAAATGTACGTATAGGAGTCCAGTGTTCCAAATGCCTCTTCATTTTAAGCATGGTAAACGCACAACAAACCGGTTGCAGCTACACTTTGGTACATCAGTTTCTCTGCGGTTCTCTGCAGTATGTATGATCATCCCACTGGTAAAGGTGGTACATGAACAAGCGCAGAAAAAACTGGTAGCAGCGATTAAACAAAAGAGGAACCCAAAGTCGCTTCACTAAAAGTCAGCATGATAGACAGTAAACCCCAGTTCTTCCCAACAGGCTCCTCCACAAAACTGATGAAGAAGGCTGTGCAGCACGTTACAAATGCGTCACTTGTGGCTTTGAACTGCAATACCATCAACGCCCCAACTACACCCGGCACAAGCACTGCTAGTCCCCTTGGAAAAAGTACGACCAGCGCCTCGTCCACATTCCATATTGTTCCCAAATGTCTGCAGGACCTCGACATGTGTGGTGGTTGAAACGTGGTAGCTGCCAAAGTAAACGAGGAACTTTGGCCTTAAGTTACCACAGCTTGACCCAACCTCAATGAAGAAGGTGAAATCGTACTTTCCCAACCTCCACCGATTGTACGCAGTCCAACTAGGCGATTGACCTCAACCAAGGTTACGCAACTGTTCATTAAGATGCCACATATTGTACCATCGATAATCTGTACCAACATTCCAGAATCGAGGTCAACGTCCTTAAAAGTAAGCAACCTGATTATGTGAACCAGTAGAACTTCATAGGTGACATGCAAGTTGTTGTAGCCGGGTCCGCCATACTGACACAGGTGTGTCCCGGTGAACTGGGACTTCCCCGAGTTTTAATGACTTCCACAGATTATGCAAAGCAGTTCCGTTGTCGACCGCGTGCATCCAGAAAGAGTTATGTGCCTTCCTTATCTTCACAGCTATTCCGTGGAGCCAGCGTAAACAGGCGAAGCACGAGTTGGAAGAATAGCGGAAGGACAATGAAGCCAGAACCATCTTTGTACACTGTGTTCTCAGGGATGGAGAGTATGGTGGGTGGGAAGCGACAACTCACGACCAGGAACCTGGCGCCGCATTCACGAGACCCTCAACCTAGAAGACGTCATGGCGCAATCGATCTCGAGGCTGCGCAGATCTCCAATTTACGAAGCTTGGGGCCCGGGAAATGTGACAGTGGTGTTTCAATCCAAACAATGGGCAACAAGGGCACTGGAGTGCTGGTATGCATGTCGCGGAAGTCTCTTTTCCGACCTCCGGAGCAAAGCAGTATTCCTTATGCAGACACACTACGGCAGCGATTTAATTGAGACAATTTCTGACAACGGTTCGGATAACATCAGTCGTCTAGCTGAAGAAACCGGCGAACACACCCATTTGTTATTTGCATAGACAAGGAGGGGCCGAGAAAAAGGACATCGGCACGGTCCCACCCTGAAACACGATTAGTGACCGACTTGTCACCGGTCGGCAAGACATTACACCCAAAACACACGTCCAACGATTCACTACTGAGATCAGAAAAATATTCTTGTCTGTACACCCGACGCACAAGATATCCTTTACAATTTTGCTGAATTGCCTTTAGGTCAAGCGTCATACATCTGGGATCTCAGATTCGTAACGGAAACTTGGTTGCACTCCGAAAACACTAACATTAAAGTAACAATACAGGGTATGTCCCTTGTTCCAAACAATCGCCTCAGTAATGGAGGTGGGGGAATTTATACTACCGCAGGGACCTGCGGTGCGAACAAGTGGACGGTTCGGAAACCTAGGTGATTTATTCACTCGGTTGCAACCTGCAACCGAGATGTAACGAAAATTGCATTGTGGGAGGTTTTTATCGTCCTCCATTGTTCATCCCACAGGTAGACTCCTGCCTGACATTAGTCTTGGGGAATGTGCTGCGACAACGATACAGCCATGTTCGTATCTCAGGTAACTGCGATGTACACGATCTGGGAGTTCCAGCATCTCCCAACGAATAATTTAAGGCAGACCTGCAGGAGTTTATTACAAGCCTTCCGCTCTTCTACCATGTCAGTTCCACTATCAGATACAGACCAGAAGTGAACCATCCTTGCTTGGTTTAGTACACACCAACGAAGAGCCGATGATCAAGAAGCCAGAGGCGGGGCTCAGTTATAGCGTAGCCATACCTTAGGAAGATGTGCGTTATGCAGAATATGCACAAGAACTAATTTCCTTGTTTCGGAAAATCACACTCTACGATATACTAACATAACTTGTTGATGTTATCTGGGGACTTTCTGATGATGGTTCCATTGATCCTTCTTGGACGGAGTTTGCTGCCAAGTCCAGTGATATTTTCACATCCGAATCGGAAAATAAGCCGCTCCGTTCTACAAGAGCTTCAACATTCATTTGGAGCAGAACCCTAAAACGCATGGAGGTAAGTTGCAGCTTGGCATGTGTACAGAGAAAACTCTAGTCCCCACAACTGGAGCAACTATTGTAGCGTAGTCACTGTACCAGCATTTTCCGTGAGAACAACAACAAGCCTCTGTAGGAATAGGTGAACAGCCACTGTGAAGTGAAGCGTGGTGTTCTTTCACTCATTCTGCCAACAGATGTGCTCAAACCGCCGAGGATGCAGTGACGGTTTGGCCACAAAATGCTACAATATTTCCACGCGCCAGCAGCATGTCACATACTTTTCCCATCCCACCAGAAAACAGTATTTACACAACTCACTTTAGTTCAGCGAATGTTACGTCGAAGCTGTTGTCGTTGAGATCTAATAGTTCCGCCAGAGTTGAAAACATTCCGCCGAAAGCACCGCCGCTCGCAGCAACGAGGATAGCTGAAACATGAACCCAATTTTTCCAAAAATAACTGTATGAACAGCAAGTCCCCAACATGTGAAGAGAGAGCATCAGTCCCCCGATTTCTAAGGATAATAGACATTCAGAGCCCGCCAACTATTATCCATTGATTCGCCTTCCAGTATTCTGAAGAGCGATGGAGCTGAGCATTGCTGAGGCACTAAGAGACTACTTAGAGCAACACGGAACAGCATATTCCAGGTCATTCTGTACGACTAGACCAACGTCGAGTTCCTAGGAACTGTTTTGCAATCCGTGTGCTCCAACCCTATACATGCAGTCATGACTAAGGCGTAGTTGAACGGCTAATTTGTCTATATCTAATGTTTATATATATATATATATATATATATATATATATATAAGTGGTGAAGAGATACTAAGAACTTATCCAAATCAATGATGTCTGCACAGAGAAATGGTGCTGCTCAGTGTTCGGCAAAATCTGGCTGATCTGAAAAGTCTTCGTCGAACATCTTCATTCCTAGTGTGATGTTGCCATAGTAGACCAGCAATGCTCCGAAAGCAGCGGTGATCAAAAACGGCCTCTTAACATTCTTTGCGCGAACAGGCCAAATCTCGCAGCCATAGAGCAGGAACGCTCTCACGGTGACACAGTAAACTCGGCCGTTCAGAGAGAGACTCAGATCGCCTGGACGCCAGCGATGGCGGAAATTGGCAAAAACAACCCGAGCTTTGGAGACGCGCAAAGAGACCTCATCTGTTAAATCTTTGGCGCTGATGCAGCTTCCGAGGTAAACGAACTTGGTTACCAATTCCGGAAAATGACCTGAAAGGGTAAGGATAGGAGCAGCGCCTAGTCAGTTCTGTAGGAAGATCTTGCATTCCGATGGTGCGAAGGTTATTCCAAAATGGCTGACAGACACCTCCAAACTACATAGGACATTGTGGGCAGCCTATAGCAGATTACGGCATGTCGTCTGCATGCTCCAAATCCCGATCTCGGTCCCCCGGAAGCAGCTCGACGTCACTGGGTTCGCAGTTCTCCAGAGCATTCGCTAAAATTTCCTCCGTAGGGAAATTGAACAAGATGGGGGGGGGTCATAGGCAACCCTTTCTCACGCCACTGGTGATGCCAAAGGGGGGCGAAAGTCCGCCGTACACCCGCATTCGGCCCGAGGGTGAGAGTAGATGGCTTGAAGGAGATCTACTTATCGGGCACTCTCAGTAGACAACTCCAGAGAGAGCGGCTCGGTCAACTGAGTCAAACGCGGCTCGTGTGTCTAAGGAGACAACGCTGGTTGGCTGGCCAAATGTTTGACGACGCTCGAGTATTTGGCGGAGTGTGAAGAGATGATAGATGTAACTCCGAGCTGCTTGGAACCCAGCTTGCTATTCACGTATGCTCTGTTCGCGTACAAGGCTGTCTCCGTAGAAGCAGAGTCGCGAGCAGTTTAAATGCAACACATATAAGGCTAGTCCCTCTGTGATTGGCGAAGTCAGTTCAGGTACCCTTTTGATGACGGGCACGTTTCCGCTAGGCTCCATTCAGATGGGACAACTTCAGTGACCCAGTTCTGTTGGAGAAGTTAACTCGTGTACAACTGATGGGCCTGCATCTTTGGAAACAGCCGGAGGAATTTCACCTAGGCCAGCGGCTTTGTAGCGCTTTAAGAGAAGCTCGTTCGCAACCTCAGCCTTGGACAGTAGCGAAGGGTCTACACACCAGGGAGCGCTCGATATTCCAGAATGGGAACTCATCTGTGTTACTTGGCAATTAACCTTCTGCACAAAATGTTCGGCTGAACCCTGGAGTCGGCGTTTTTGATAGTGGATTAGCTCGCCATTACTCGGTTTTTTATCACCAGTAGATCGGATCAGGAGAACAAGCTTACGGAAATCTCCCGAGGTGACCCGCTGCGTCCACTAGGCCTCGCAACCTTCCTTGAGAAGCTGTTTGAGCTCAGTGTTAGTACTCTTGCACTGTGAATGGCAGTTAATGATAGCAAACATCGTTCGATGGGTTTCGAGGAGTTGAAGGGATCGTGCAGAGATCCGGTGGTTGACAGGATTACTGGTGAAGCCAAAGACCAGGGTTGCAGATTTGTACATGGCGCCACGGGTGTGCGTTCAGTGTTTTTTAGTGTCTGTGCATGAGGCAGTTTTCAGCCTTGAGGCCAACGCATCCTGAAATGCACGGAAAGCATTCGGGGCGGAAAGATTAATTACGTCAAGCCTTTTCTGTCGAATCTGTAGGGAGCCACCACAAAGTAGAGCGACCTTGACACACACCAGCGCTTGCTCCGAAGGAGAGAGGTAGTCCAGATGGACTTTCAATCCTGTAGGTAGCGCCGCTAGCGATAGCTAATAGCGACGTGGTCAATTTGTGTCCACGGTTGGCCAGGTGACGGGGCTTTCCAACTGGCCCGTTGGCGCCAAGATCCCCGAAAGCTAGTGCTCGACAGATACACGCCGTGATCGGCGCAAAGCTGAGGTAGATGATCACCGTGGTCTGTTCTGCGAGTGCCATGGCCGTTTTGACCACCGAGTTCACGTTTGCCAACTGCAAGTCTACCGATTTGCGTGTTCAAATCCCCAGCGAGCACCACTATGTCGGTACGACACCTTTTACGGAGAAGGTCGACCAGTTGACCATAGAACTCCTCCTTAACTGATTCCGGGCTGCAATCTGTGGGAGCGTGCGCTGCTACATTAGAGAGACAGCGTCTGTTGGCTTCGCACCTCGGCAGTCACGTAGAGGTGTCAAGTCGGATCGCGGATAGTCGACTGTTGACACGGATCCAGTATAGTATTGAGGCCTCAGCACGTGTGCTCAACGCAATCCCCACGCTACCATAACCAGCGGCTTCAGCTGTTGAGTCTTTAGATAGGCGCGAATTGAAAATGCCAGTGGAACTCGCAGATGGTGCAACTAGTCAAAGTGTTGTGTTAGAGTCCTGTAAACGGCTCTAACTGAGACAACAGACACCAATGGCCGTAGTATTTAGCGTGGGTTCAAGAGTTGTCTATGATCCAACTGGTACGTACCGATTGTGTGTTCCTAATACGTTTATGGATCCGTACTCCGTTTAGACATAGGAAAAACACCAACGCCGGATGGTAGGTGTGAAACTGTACCCTGCTCCTAACCGGAGCCAGGTGAAACATATAGGACCAAAACGAACTAATGCGAAACAGAGACCAATCAGCGAATGCACTATAGTCAGGTGATTGAGTACGTGTAGTTAGTGGGTGTCGCGTGACGCATCGGTTTTGGATGTGTAACATCCCTTCACATGGCAGATAAAAACATGCTCGCAAAATGTAACCTTCTATTCGTCTGGGTGAATGTCGTGATCTTCGAACAGTGATCGGTAGCTCAGCTTCATCCATTTGGTTTTTTCAGTCATCTCTGTTTGTTCTCTATCAACGGTTCCATCCTCGTGGTCTGGTACCGCGGATGCACGGGGCCGAATAAAGCCGTTGTGCCGGCGTACGGTTTCTCCGGTTTCCAGCTGTATCTCGGCTTCCGTGAGTGAACTGGCCAGTACGATTGCGAGCTGCCACATGGGTTTATGTGGGAGTTTCGTATACGCATCTTGTTTCGATAACAGAGTCTGGAGTTTATCGCGTACGTGTCCGCTCTGACGTATTCGCTGTTGTTGGAAACGCCTGGTTTGACGAGGGTCTGGAAACAATCCATCTAACCTTGTGCGTAGGCGACGCCCAAACAT